GGGAGGGGAAACACTCCTATCCTTTTTGCATGGCCAGGTTCATTGCATTGAAGATACGGAGAACATCGCTGCTGGTAGCTTCCCGACGGCCAATTTCTTGTGGGAATCGTAACGAGGGTGCCTGTTTGAGGGATTTTATCGAGTGTTTGCACTTGGTGTTCGCTCAAGTCTGGGTTTACTTTTTACTGACAATGGGTTGCGGTGGAGGATGATTGCGCCTCTAATTGAACTAAAAGGGAGTCAACAGACAAGCCCACCGCGAGTTCCCACCAACAAATGAGCTCCGGGAATTCTCCAGCAAGTCGGGGTCAACGTTTGGTATGATGCTAGCAAAGATCTACATCCTAGGCTTACGTTGAACGTCGACCAAGAAATATATAATCCCTGCTCTCTTTTGTTGTTGGTGTTTGCCGACTTCCTGACACTGAGTGCCCTGCCTCCTGGCCTGTTTCCTTGGCAAACTTTCACGTTTTTGCGGGTAGATGTCTGCATCATATAAGCAAAGGTCCAAAACACTTCAGTTTGTTTCTGCCCGTCGGTCACTTCAGGCGGAACCCCTCCCACTCTCTTGCCAGGAGCCTGCGCCCGCTTTCGCCGTCGAGCTGCCAGAGGTGCCTGAGTCGATGGCGCAGCCCGAGTGAGTGTTTAAGGCGTGGCCGCGCTTGGCGCATCCAAGCTGGCGCTGAAATTTGGCTGTTTTCGGTCCTGACACCTGTCGAACTGTGCCATGGAGTTGTAGGCATCAGGTTTCATCCCCCTGGCGGCTTGCGTGCGCGGCCACGCACAATTCATTGCATTGCCAGCGGGGAGGCCATCAGGCGTCATGCAGTTGACTGGTTGCGATGCCGGGCAACCATCACTGGGTGCTGAAAACCTGCAAATGTGATTGTTCCTCCCTAACAGGAACCCACAAGGGGAATAATTCTGATTCCAGAATGCTTGTTGGTTTTTACCCGCGGGGAAATCAAAGGATTATGGCCACGATTAAGTTTTCAGGCAGCTCAATAAACCACCCAGGTGAGCTTGCTTCTGTATGAGATTGTGACGACGGACTGAACATCTTGAATGAACGACTTATGGGACTGCACGCAGCATGACATGAACGGTCTTTCCTTGGCATAAGTGAGGCGCGAATCCAGACAGGGGTCGCACTCGGATGCTCCTTGGTTGTGCTGTTTAACACGCCCCCCCGAATCTGCGGGTTTTGCCAGGGGCACACTGCTGGACCTCTAAAACGAGTCAATGGAACCCACTGACAAACTGCGAAATGTGAAGGGGACTGCTACTAAAAGTTGAAAGGTGGTGTTTTGCCTGGAAACAGAGCTGGGGCCGGCTGGTGCTTGTTATTTTCCATTTTCAGTGTTGGGTTTGAAGATCACCTGTTGGGCCATTTTGAAATGATTTGCTTTGGGGTGATATTGGAAAAGGACTTAGGAGCTGCCTGGGAAATGTTTGTCGCAGAGAGAGTCCTAAAAAGCACTTGGCATGGCTGGCAACTACTGTACTTTGAGAGGTTTGGAGAACCAACTGGCGCCTGCAGGTAGGTTTGCTGCCTGACCAGCATACAGAGACCAAGCCTCCTTTGCCTTGTTTCTTGTTGATTTCTGGGCTCATAGCTTGACCCAGTACACTCAATGATGCGGAAACCATTGGCCAGCTCTTTCCCGCACGATCAGACGCCCGATTTCCACCATGAACGGTTTGTTGGTGGAATAGTCAACAAACAAGTTTCGTTCCTTCCAGCTGTTACGTATCGAATCTTACCACCTGTTCAACTCAACAAGCCCAATCCTCAACATGGATCTCTTTCCCACACCCGCTCATCTCGTATTTGTCCAGATGGCTGTGGGTCAAAATCGGGTAACCCCAAACCGGCTTGCCCTGGTAAATGGAAACATGGACTAAGACCTGCGGGTCCCCTGGCGGTTTAATTTTGACCCATACCCAGATTGCTCCGATTGAGTGATGGATCAAGGAAAAGACTGCCTTGCGCTTCCCGCTTTGGCAAGAATTGGCGCCTGGGCCCTGCTGGGCCAACCTCATGGCCAGGACTTTCAGAAGCCGCCCACTTGAGAACCGCGGTCATGTAACTTCTCAGTTGTTCAGTGGCACCTGGGTTCTCCCCTTAAAATAGTCAAACCCACAATTGGTTCTCTTTTGCTGCTAGGATCATTGGGCAACTGGGTTCGCTTTGGATTACGAAACTGAACCACTCCAAATCCATCTATGTTCAACTGACCTGAAAGGGGACATGCCATGCTCAGTCGTAAAGCTTCCTGGGGTATGAAGCCATCAAGGCTCCAAGTTATACACCCGCTTGATATCCAGTACCAAACTAGCTGGGCTCGAGTTGATTCGGGTGCGACCCCGTGTATAACAGGGGCAAGGTCAAATGTCAACCTTTGATTCACCTGGAAAATGGCACTAGGGAAGATTTCAACGTTTCAACATGCTTCGGTTCCCCGCAGGGGGACATTTTCAGTTTGGTTCTAGTCATTAGTGCCATCGAGTTTATGCAAACTGGCCACCGAGTTTATCCATCATTTGAGGCACACCGACTTGTGGTGCAAAGCAAACTTTTCCGATGTATCACATGGGTTGTGGTGTTTTGTCTAGCGACGCTTGGATCCAAACGAAGGATACGAAAGCTGAAACGTTCAAATGGCGCTTGAAGAAGTGGAGCGAGCACTTGTGCTTCAAGCACCTGGTTTGTTCCCTTGACCAGGGTAGCGGATGCATTTTCCCCCACATTAATTGACAAGAGCTGACAGCCCTGAAAAACCCAATCTGTAAGACCCGCTATGTTTGACTAGGCGAAGAAAGTACTTTGCTACAAGTTGACCTGTAACCGGACTAGGCATGAGGCAAATGATTGCGACCACCCCTGGCGTTGTTTGCAACCTGCATGAAGGTGCCTATCATATAGGGATTCCTGGTTCGGGCGACTTTCGCACGATTTTAGACAGATATCTAGGTGTGGCTTTTTCGGTCCTTTCAATCCTTCTTTGCTTTTAAACCCCAGCCGTTTCCCCTTGGCCTTTGGCTTTCTGGACAGAATCCTTAACAAATGCAAGTCGATGGTAGCTTTCCGGCTCGGTGCCTGGACTGAGCCGTGAGTTGGCCCCAAATGGCTGGCCAGCCGCTTGCTAACGCCCGAATTCACGAAGGAGCACTCGGAGTGTGCACGGCCTTGGGCCGCCAAGATCCCCCAAGAAAAAGTGCATCGGATTCAAGGATACCCGCTGCCAGTGGAAAAGCACGCAACTACCGCCAGATTTGGAGGAATTGAAGTGCTTGCGGAAGCAGGTGATTGCTGGATTTATCCTTAAAGGCACCATGTGGAATTCACGCTTTTGCCATGACTGTTTGGTGCGTTCCCAAGCACGAAAAGGGCTCTCTCTTGAAGTTGCGTGACCCTGGTAGGAACACTTTTCAGGGGCAGCGGCAACGGGTGAGAATGACCTTGTTGTTGCACCTTCCTCGAGTCAAATTCAACAGATTTTCAGTCGGTTTCGTCATTCTACAGGGCTGCGTCGAGCCTCCAAACGGTGACCAACGCAGAAGGATCAGACAATTGGATTGGCTTTCTTTGGTTTCCCTTTTCCAGAGGCCAACGTTTTGCGCTTGTGAGTTGTTCAGGGCAATGTGATATTGTTTTACAAGGTTCCTCAAAATGCATCGTTAGGATATCATTTACGCTGGCCAGATGATGCAGAACTTGTGAAACCATGAAGATTTCGGGAGGTAACTTTCCAGCTAAACTGCACTCGGGACTCGGCTGCACAGGCCTCTCTTTGCCGTAGAAAGATACAAGACGGGGTTGTTTCAGCAATTGTGTGGCCGGCCGACACCTCAAATTCGGATCCAAATCCTGAACAACCGATTTGGGGCCGCAGGACTCGTGGGAGTCGCTGTTCGATGTCGGAATCATTCGCAGGATGAACCAGTTTCTTGCCAGAAGTCTGAGAATGCGCACGCGGCTCACAGTGCTTTGCTGGGCGGCGCCTCGCGCAATGCCCGTTGCCGAATGCCATTGCATGCAAGCAATTTGCCGGCGAGAGGAAAAGCCCGGCCCGGCCCTTTGCCTGGAGCATCATGGTAATTTTGTTTAAGGGGTCCTCGAACTTACTCTTAGATTCGGTCTTACTTTTAAAAGAAGGCGCTTCTTGAAACCACGGCTTGGAGGGTGATCTTGAGGATGTCACTTTGATGGACCCACTTTCCCAGGGGCGTTTGAACCATCAATCGTTGCCTGTGTAAAACGGCAGTGCTCTCTACAGCTGGCTGGTCAACAGGTCCTTCAGGGTGGCGGGTGGTCTCTGGGGATTTCATTTGAATCAGTGAGCAGTTGTCAATATCAGTACTGGTATGGAATGGACATGGGCGATGGCCCTTTTCTACTTTTTCTTTGCAATGTCAGATGTGCGCTGCTTTGTGCAATTTGCACGGCCCACGGACCAGTGAAGGCTTGCTGGGGTTTTCTCCAACATGATGTTCGATTGTAGGGTAGACACTGGAAATCTGGGCCAGCATCTGAACACTCAAATCGTCATTGTCCTAAATTGTCCGCAAGTCTCCAACCGAAAATCCGACCGATAGTTTTGCGCAGTCCATTTCTGATTCGAGGCTGACACTTCCAACTTCACCATCTCGCCCACTCAATGAGTTCTGGGTGAACTATAACGACCTCACACGACCTCACCCCAAATGGTGGTTTATGTGGGGAATAGCCCCCCAACCACCTTATTTCAGGTTTGTGAAATGTTATATTTCACCCAGATGAGTTTGTGACTTTGCCGGTTCTCATAGGATCCCAACCCCCCCTTCCCCTTTCCCTCCAACCTCCGGCTACCCTGGTTTCTTCCAAATAAGAGAAGCCCTTAAACGGGCAAAATAAGGGGTTAGGGGTGGGGGCCGGGGGTTGGAGTTCTTTGAAAAAAGCTGGAGTTGTTTCCCTTCAATCTGCTTGGTTATTCACCCTGCCTGCACACTGCGCGCAGGCCTTCCTCCCGAGCAAGCATTGGGAGAAGTGGCACCGCTGCTCAGTGTGTTAGTGTTGCGAAGGGACGCGACGGGCACCATGGGTTTTGCCAAGGATCTTATTGTTTTGGGCTCTTCTTTGTCACTACTTGTTCCTTGTGCCGACTGGTGAGGTTTCTCTTGTTGTGGTGATTGGGGATCACTGATTAGGATTGGATCCCCCCCAGTTTGAACAGCCCAGTTTCACTGACAAATTAGTCAGTACGAGACTAAACCATGGCCTCAGCATATCCATGTGGCAGAGGGAATGGCACACTCCTATACACTCCTTTCTTGTAAGCGGCGGGGTTAATGCTAGCAGGCCCGCTTCTCACGTGTTCGGTAGAACCGTAACGCCATAAAGCGGTAAAACCGTTTACAGCTTTTCCGTTTTACTGTGGAGGGGCACGAGGGACTCACACAATCCCCGCCTTCGTTCCCAAAAGATTTGGTGATCATGGCAAAAGGCGTTGGATCACTGAAGTTTTTCGGGCTGCTAAGGGTGGCCTCCATCCTCTAAAGTGCTCCTTGCCAGCTTCGCATGCATGTCATGGTTTCACCCGACCAAGGTACAGGTCACCCTAAGACACGCTCGAGTTTGCACCCTAGGCACCTGGACCTGCAAGCGCTGTATCCTGGCGAGGTCGGGGCTGGGACTTGGGTCGTCCAGTCCCCTTCGATGTGCGCAGGGAACTGTACCCATATTAATTTGAATGGCCCAAGGACTTCGCTGTCATTCTGTCAGTCCGTGTTGCTCTTTTGGGCGGCCAAATTACGTGGAGGGTTTTGGAGCGTGTTTTGTGCTGGGATTGGGTTGGGGATGTGGTTCGGAGTGAAGCCCGCCTAAACATTTGATCAGGTTTAATTTGAACTTGGGTCGTATGTCCAGCCAGGTGGTCCCTTTCGACAGCAAAGTGAGGCAACTTTGCAAAGATATGTTGTTCTTGGCTCGCTTTACCAGACGGTTTCTGAAACCATCCCACTGTTTGCAGGAGAGGCACAGTCCAATTTTCAGCACCCGCGCAGGGCTCCACGAATTTGAGGATGCTGCGGTCAACTGCTGCTACGCTCGTGTGTCCGCCAACTTGGATGGCGAACTGTCTGATTTCCGCAAGTGTTCCGTACTGAGACCTCCCAGTTTCCCAACGATGGTGTTCCGTTTAGGTCGTCCACCCCCCCCCCCCCCCCACAAAAAAAACAAAAAACTCCACTCGGCTCCTTTTTAGACCTTATCCTTCTCGGGAGGTGTTTGGGTGTGATTTTGAAGTGCCCGCTCTCAGGAGGGCCTGTGGCAAGCCTACGAGGCCTTGCGTGAAAGCCCAGCTCTGGGTGTTGTGTTCGGGAACTTGAGGGCCTGCGAGCAATGACCCTATTGGGTACTTTTAAAAAGTACGTGCCGACCGGCGACCCTCTCAAGGTTTTCCGCATGTCAAGTCATCGGCACTGGGTCGCCTTACGGGCATGCGCAGGAGGATTTGTGCACCGACCCCCGCACCTATTTTCCACCTCATCCATTTTCTAGAACCAAGAGTCAACGGGTTTTGGGCGCTGCCTATGTGAGGTTCGGTCAACATTACCATTTGGGAGGGACAGGGAACGAGCTAAAGATTCCCACTGCAACAGCCAGGGACTAATTTTCCCGTGTTTTCTCGGGAAACAACCAATGTTGACCGTGGCTCATGTGTCTTGCTCCTGGTGACATTTTAGGAACCTTCTCTGGATTCCATGTTTTCATTGGTGGTTTTCCTTCGGGTTTTCTTTGAATTTGACGCTTCAAACAGCTGGGAGTTCTGTTTTACGAGTGGTGGTGATGTTCCTTTGGGATGAGGCTGTAGGGAACAAACGTCTGCAGCTTCTTGCAGCTTCTTCACGAACACGCATTTATGGCCATTCAGCGGCATTTGTCAGATTTTTTTTTGGTGAGTGCGCCCTGGGCTTGGAAAAATGCCTTAAGGCCTTTCCTTCACAAGGAGTGAGCTGATCTTGCGAACAGGGACTGCCCCCATAATCAACCATGACTGTATTATTGTGAACAAGCCCTTTAGACGGCTTAAGTCACCGGCAATGATGAAGATACCAATTTGGAGGGTGTGTTGCACATGAATTTGCACACAAGAAACCGGTCAGCAATTTCCACCCTGTAAAACCTTCTGAAGCGGCCAGGATTCGTTTCTGAGGTGATAGTAGTCTTCCAAGAAATGTCAGATATACACACGGGCACCCACGCACACCCACACAAACCCGCACAAACACGCACAAACACGCACAAACCCGCACAAACACGCACAAACACGCACAAACCCGCACAAACACGCACAAACACGCACAAACACCCAACCACGCGCAGAAACACGCACACACACACACACACACACACACACACACACACACACACACACACACACACACACACACACACACACACACACACACACACACACACACACACACACACACACACACACACACACACCCACGCACGCACGCACGCACGCACGCACGCACGCACGCACGCACGCACGCACGCACGCACGCACGCACGCACGCACGCACAGACGCAGGCTGTTTGGAAGACGCCCCCGTCCTTTCGGGCCAGGACCCCTGTGCCAGCTTATGTTTCCTTTGCAGGGTCAGCTGGCTGCTGAATTCCTCCCTCCTTATTAAAACAGAAAAACTCTCCGGCGTGCAAGGTGGATATGTCTTGTTCAACTTTTTCACACTCCAAAGTAACATCTCGTCAATCATCCTAAGCATGGTCTTTTGCAGTTTCCAACACCCTCGTGTTAGCTTTTCATAGGGTAGCTCAGGTGATAGCAGTTTTCCTGTGGCGTCCTTCTGATTGCCGGTTAGGATTCAATATCGAATCCACCCCATTTCGGCCAAGCCGCGAGCGCATTTCGCGAGCGCTGAGGCCCTGCGACCCGGGCAGCGCGCTTGGAGGGCCTCACGGATTTTGGCTTCACCCAGTTGCGGCGCCGCAATTTCCCCTTTGGCCTTAAGTGACAATGTGCATGACTACCAGTCAAACAGAAGTAAGCCGTCAAATGACCCGTGTCTTGAGTGGCACGTAGTGGCGCTCTTGAAATCACATTCTGTTCGGGTCCCGAGGGTTCTAGAGTTGTACCCTTTGTCGGTTGTACCCCTAAATTTGCAGCACCAATACAGCCCTCACGACTGGATCATCTGCAATACCCTTAGGTTTTTGGGATATGATCTCAAAGCTGCAATGTTGGACCCTCTGCCCTCAACCCGGTTCGTATCGCGTGCGAAAGAGCGGCGTAAAGGGCCAGCCTTGAAACCATGTTGGTTCGGGACTGAAAATGGTGTCCTCAGACAAATGGGTATAGATGCCTCCCAACATGCAGGACTTTTCGGGGCATGTTGCAAGCAACAACCAACAACTCCTTGCTCCCGTTTTGCACTGGCGTCCAATGGGAATTTTGGATTTGAAATGGCCAAGTGCGGCCAAGCATACGGCCCTACACCTGGCATTCATGAAGCTGATTGAAGCTGATTTCAGCTGCGGTTGAGATCTTGCAAGTTCGCCAAGCTCAAAACGACTGGACATTAGATGGCAAGAGTTCTCGTGAAATTGTCAGGGTACTTTGAAGGATTCAATGCACATGAGTAATCAGAGCGCCTGTGCCTATTGCCAATCCTTGGCAGTTCTTGCAGAAAAGTCTAGCTTCTTATTGGCTTGTCGCGTCATGATCTTCGGGTGGGTCGATTAGGAAAAAGAAAAAGCGGTCTGGTTGAGGGTTTTGGCCCGCATGGGCCCGCCGAAAAAGGGAGCCTGTCCTTGAGTTTGGCGTTGGGCAGACTGGTTTAAAAAATGCATTAAGCTTGAGGAGTCAATTAGCGAAAACGAGGCTCATACATATGCACCATCGTTTGTCGGGGCATTTGCACTTGTCACATCTACCAACTTATGTGTACACTAAGGTGAACTCTTCAGTACTCGTTAGTATAGCCAATTGTTGTCTACGTCCGCGACCATGGCTGGGCCGAAAGCCACAGTTTAACTTTTGCAAATTATGTTCCAATTATGCATGTTGCTTTGCAATAGGGATATACACATGTCCGAAAGGACGAACATTACATTAAAGTCACAGAAACGTGTTTCTACTTTCGGGGCTTTGGCATCAAACAAGACCGAGACAGCGCTGGCAAAAAGGCCAAACAGCGAGCTGAGGCTACCCTGAGTCCTGGAGCGCGTGCTTAAGCCAACTTCCTTGACACCAGAGGCATGGTCTTGTCACACCCCGGCGCTCATACCAAGCTTTGTCAGGATCCATCCAAGCTGAACGTGCCTAACCCCGTTTCCTTTTGGGATGCAGGCGACCAATGGATCAAGAAGGAACCGAGGCACCCTGATGCCCCATTTGCTACATCCACGGAGTTCAAGTCAAGGTGTCAAGGGCAGCGGGCGTACACACAAGGTTTCACTCCGCGCCCAGGGCACCCCGTACCCTCAACCTGTTTGACCCACTTACCTTCCGGAGCTAAGTGTTGGAACAGGGGGATTAACCAAAAGTCCCTCAATTTCGCTTTTGTGGACCTGAAAAAGGGGCAGTTTCAATGGAACTGAGGGAATTGACAACGTAGGGTGAACCCATGCCCGGTTTACTTTTCCCGAACTCCCAACTTTACTCAAGCAGGTTGGGCCAAAGAGGCGGGAAGCGCAAAGCTCGCGGAAAAAGAAGGAACAAAAATGCGCAGGGGTGCGAGGGCGAGCAAGCAGACGGGACCTTGGTGCTAGTGATGCCCCATTTTGTTCTAAACTTGTGGGGGCTGTAGATTTCACAACAGGGATGGCTGATCACTAGTCACTGTTTCAGCCGTGCGACCTCAGGAGGCGTTGCTGGATCGTTTTCTTTGCACGAACCTCGGCCCATGGTCACAATGTCAGTGTAGACGGACCTCGTGGGTGTGCACTTCGGCCAGAACCTCAATTGCAATCAAGCCGACCTGAACTTCCCTTTTGACAGCCCAGCTTAAGTTTAGGTCCACTAGTCATGGCAAACGGGTGATCTTGGTGATCACCTTTTCTTTCCCAGTTTCCGGATATGATTCTCGAAATACCCTTGGGATTCTTGAGCTAACAGATGCTAACGGGCTAAACAACGGTGATTTGCTTCAGTGCTTCCTAACGGGTAGTCGAACAACCTGGGGTAAAGGTAAGGATCTTCGGCTGGGCCTGCTGAGTTCCTGAGGTTGGGCCCCAACCAAGCGGGATACATTTAGCTCAGTCAAAACATCATTTGAGTGGTAAACGCAGAGTTCGTGCTTTGTTGACCCATCCACTGGGGAGGTAAGTTATTAAATGGACCCAGCCAATTGATGTTGATAGCTTTCCTAGATCATTCACGGAGGGATCTTTGATATGATTTGTCCAGGTCCATGCCACCGAAATCAGATGCAGGTCAAGCCTAGCTGATTTGGGCACAAAAACCATCTGAGATTTGAGAGCTGAAATTCCAGCAGGGCGTGCCTTTCTGGCTCGGGCGCGAGAAAGGCTATCCTGGTTCATGTGACTGCCATGCATGTTGATACCCTACCTTTTACCTGGGTCCGCATTTTGATTGGCCCGCCAACTTGCTTTTGGGTCCCGGCGTCTATCTAGCTCGGACATGATGGTGCACATGATGGTGCTTTGGGCTGAGTCGCATTTGTGGTGCCCAATGGCCAGGCGCATCTGCCGCGGCGGGGTAGGGGGGGTGGGGCAAGTGGGCCCATCAAGCCTTCTTTGTTTCTTTGTGTTTTGTTTGCGTTGCTTGGCCTCGCTTTTCTTTGCTTTGCTTCGCTTTGCCTGCTTGGTTGGTTGCTTGGTTGCTTGGTTGCTTGGTTGCTTGGTTGCTTGGTTGCCTTGGTTGCCTTGGTTGCCTTGTTGCTTGCTTGCTTGCTTGCTTGCTTGCTTGCTTGGTTGGTTGCTTGGTTGCTTGGTTGCTTGGTTGCTTGGTTGCTTGGTTGCTTTGTTGCTTTGTTGCTTGGTGTTGCTTGGTGTTGCTTGGTGTTGCTTGGTGTTGCTTGGTGTCGCTTGGTGTTGCTTGGTGTTGCTTGGTGTTGCTTGGTGTTGCTTGGTTGCTTGGTTGCGTGGTTGCATGGTTGCTTGGTTGCTTGGTTGGCTGGCTGGCTGGCTGGCTAAATTTGGCATGGGTTTGGATGCTGCTGCTCGTCAGGAAAGCCTTGGTAAGCCTTAATGAGGCTTGGCCTTTGAACTGCCATGTTTGGCGGGATCTTTCAATCGAGTGCACAACAATTCCCACCTAATATATGTTTCTAGTCCACATCCATTCAGGGGCAACTTTTGTGCAACTCCCATGGTACCCCTAGGTGGGTACAAGAAAAACATGTAGAAGCATGGGCGCCGGTCCTCTGGAATTTTAGTCCTAGCAATGCAACCCTAGACCAAGATACGTGATCCCGAAGGATCTTGGGTTCCAAGGCCGTTGCCTTACCTCAGGAGGTTCTAACGATTGGTCTTCCATTGGTATTCCAGTGATTGTAATTCCCACTTGGAAAGAAGTTCCCAAAGAGACCCCCAAGGCAAACATGTGGCTTTTGCAAAGTCTGAATCACAAACTTGAAATCAAGGGGGTAAGGCCTCATTGCTATTGGTAGTGGGGGACTGTTAAACCAAACGACCTCATCATGGGAGAAAATTGTAGTTGGTTTGCCCCTTCATTATTTGAAAGGGATGACCAACTGAATTAGAACCAGCTCACTGCGGGATAATACATAAGCTCCCCCATGATGAAGGCCCCGTACTCGGGGCCTTGTGCGTAGCAGCTTGCCCAGATGAACAAGTGGCCCCAAAGGAGGGAATGGGTGGCCATTGTACTGCAAGCCAAGCAGCAAATGATTGAACGATTACTTCCCAGGCGTTTGGAGACAGTCTGCTTCTGCTTCAGGGCAAATGACTGGCGTGCATGCAATGCTGACCGGCGCCCCGCCTAGTTTGGTGCTCGGGCTTTTGACTCTGTGTTCAGGGTCCTTGCCGCCATGCTTACCCGACTTGGGATGATGGCCTCGCCCAGCAAGCCGGATGCCTTTTTCGTCGACAAATTGCAGCGTGGCGGCAACCAGTTCCCTTACCCTCCTGCAGATCAACACGGAAGTTTAGCTTCCAAGCGGGAAGGGTTTGTTTGGAGTCCCGCGAGGTGTAAGGGAGAAGTAAAGGGAGCCCTGTCAAACAGGCTGGCCACGCATCCCTCCCAAGCATTTGGCTGGGAGGGAAGCCGGGAAGCAGAGCTAGAGGGACACCAAGAGGCTCTTTGCTGTCGCAGCAATCGGTTTCAGTTTCCGAGCCTCCCGCACGTGCAACAGTTGAATGTGTTTTGGCATATTTGATTCTGATGTTTAGTGAGAAAGGGCTTCAAACCACTTTGTTGCTCACCTTCACACCACATCCAAGAAAGAATCGGATGCATTAAGTGCTGACTGTGCCTTTAGATGCATGTTGTAAAACTGGTGGTTGCAGACTCCTTGTGTCAAAAAGAAGATGGTTTTGTAGGACCTGCCATATTTGAAAACACCACGCGTCCACTAAAAGGGTCCAACATGCTCATGGAACGGCCTACATGGACTTGCCCCCCCATACAATTGCTTGCCCGTGCCCCAGTTAATGGCCAATGTCTTAGATCTTTTCTGCTTCATGAGGGCCGTTTCGCCAAGCGCGCCCGCTCTAGCAGCTGGACTTTAACTCGCTTGCACCCAGAGGGGCAAGCATACCGCATATCCCCGCAAGCTTCGATCAGAACCCTTCGATCAGACGACTTCCGAACCTTTCCGGCTCGGGTGTTTGTTTTCAAAACCAACCAGCCGATGCCCTAGACTGCGCGATTCAATTTGGCCGCCTTGGCAGACGGGAAATGCTGTGACGGGAAATGCGAGTGAGTCACGCAGATCCTTCAGAGGATGAAACCTTGACTGTCCAGGTCTTTGAGTTGTTCGCATTGCCCAGGTTCAATGGGGATTGTTGCCATGTACCCGCATGTACCGGGGATTGGGAAGAAATGAATTCTCACTGAATCGGCCAGACCTGTTCTGTTGGTTTTTTTCAGTGCACGGAGAATGTGACTCAGGGGACAGTGGGCTCCAAAGGACAACATGTGTGTCGCATCCGAAAGGAACCCACTGAGTCAACGGGTCACCCATATGATGTGTTCATTGAAAAATAAACTTTGCTGGTCGCAACGATCGAGTCACGGCAGGTCGCGGTTGAAGTATTTGCCGGGTTTCTGTGCAGCAAATCACCACCTGCAGGGCTTTGTTTGTTTTGGAGTTGCTACCCATGTTGGGGTTGTTTTAAAGAGCAACCAAGGCACACCCATTTAAAGACAAAACCAAAATTCCTCGCAGTGATTGGTTTGCTACATTCTACCAGGCCAATTTGGGATGAACTAGGGTTCGAACTGGGATTTCGACTTGCTTCAGTAAGGTCAATTGGCTTCGGCACGTGAAATCAGAGACACGTCAGTTTCTCCCTCCCTCCTGTTGGGTGGGAAGGGTTTGCCTTTTGAGCTTGTGAAAGCCTTTCGTTCCGTTTGTCCAGCTAACACTTGCCCCGCACTATATAAACATGCTGTATGTCTGTATCTGCACTTAAATATACGTTTCTTTGTACAGGTGTGTGTGTGTGTGTGACCGTGTGTTTTTCATTGTATGTCCGGCACAAATCACCTGGGGAGGACATAGAGTTCCGCCGAAATCCAAAAGACGCCATGAGAGGGCGCCTCAAAGATTGGCGTCCCTTGTTCTTCTCTTCCTTAGGTCGGGGCCTTCCGCAGCTCATTCGCGCCGGCTTGACGATGGTGACTCCCTTTCTTGGGCCCCGGGCTTCTGTGCTAAAGGGGCGATGGGCTTGGTTCGTGGCGTCTTGGCGTTTAACCTACTTACCCTCCCAGACATATGGAAGCTGGCTGAAAGGTGGGTCGGTCATAGACCCGACCGTGGCTTCGGGTGAGTGATGGCGATGTTCGAAATGTCGCGCACGATCAGGTGATCAGACTCCGTTTTTCGGGGACTCCCCCCGTTTTTGTTGCATTGCTTGGTGAATCATTCTATCAGCTTAAGACACTAAGATCTGACGAAGCCGCTGAATCTGAAACCGAGCCGAAAGTGGGACTCAGTGTCCTGAAACAAGATACGCCCGTTCTCAAGCCCCGGCCCGCGGATGTTCACCAAGTAAGGCCAAGCAATCCCATGAGCAAGCTGATCTCATAGGTATCCCCTTA